AACAAAACATCTAAAAAATCATCTTTATTTTTCATTTTTGCAATGCCAGAGAAATAAACTATATACACTATAGTGTAACTGATGAACTCCTAAGCACCTATAAAGTAAGTTAAATAGCAATATTACCTGAGAAAGAACACAATAAATGTGCACAGGTTTATGAACATACACATAAGTACACATTAAATACAGCAGGTGCAAACTTTAAAAAAATACTCACAAGCCTGACAGCATTCTTCAGCACTCGATTTCATTACAGACATTATCCATGAATCACTAAGACAAATGAAAATGGTACACTTTTCACTCTGGACACCCTTTTCAACAAAAAGGGCAAAAAGGAGAGACTGAGGGGGAGGGAAGAACTACTTTTCTGTGGTGGAATATTTGCCAACAAGGAAGACGTATAACCAGATTTCTATAATTCTGGATATGTCATTCTGTCCTTGCACAGAGAAAGCTGAAAGGAGTGGCCTGCCCATCTCCCTTCCCTCAGGTAGAAGGGCAATGTGATCATTAACTTCCAGGAGGCAGAGCATTAGCCTAGAATGAGTAAAGAGCAGTACTGGAAAATACCGTATTTTCCAGCCATGTTTTCTGTAACTTTAAACTAATTCTGAACTGGCATAGTAGCTGGGAGCAGAAAAGATGATCTAATAGGTCATTTGACTTCTGTCACTAATTTCTCTGCTCTAAATAACATTTTACGCTTACGGTGTTTAAAACTCAATTTCCTGAGGACTGGTTTTAGGTTTAGAAACGGTCACTGTGACAGTAGCTATCAAACCTAAAATGATGCTAAATAAAGCCTTTAAGGGCCTTAAAACAGGAAGAAGCAGCTCCAGCCCCTTTATACTTCATAAGAAAGCTCACGAGCAAACAAATGTGCATTAGAAGGTCAATGTGGTAATTATACGTGCAGTGTTTCATTGGACAAAAAATGCACAGTAAAAACAACAGTCACGGGGATAAGAAACAGAGGTGATATAACTTGCAATGTTTATTATACATTTGGCTACTGTATACTAAATACACATTATTTATTATTTATTCTAAATATAATGTATGTGTATACACACAGAATCTCTGAACTCCACACAGTAGCACAGATACAGAATCAGAAGACTCTTCCACTGAAAGGAGGAAACAAGAAAGCAGATTAGCTCACAAAGAACCAAAGAACTGAAATGATGTGTTGATATTTCCTGGAACCACTCTGAAGATGAGCAGCAGAGTTTTGGATGGACTGCAAATTTTTCCAATACTTCCTTTGAAAACCAGGCTGCTACAGCATTTTAATAACTCAACTGAAAAGCACAGAAAACAACTTTGGTTTTTGCCAGGTTGAACTGGGGTGGAGGGAAAGGTCCTTGCAGACATTTGCAAACAATTTTAATTCTTGTGCATGCCCCAATCAATGTATGGGAGCAAGCTAGTTCTGCAACCCACTGTTCTCCTCAAGTAGAAAAGGTTGAAATAGTTATAAATCCAGATATATAAAAATTCAGCAAGTGAAAATTTGGTCTATAACAAGACACAAATTCAGGGTAGAACAGCGATTCATGAAATACAGCCAAGCCTATGCTCCTACACCCCGTGTTGAAAAAAGACTCCCATTGACAACTGCCTGTTAGTTGACAGAGTCCTAAACAGTGGAAACTGCATAATCCCTTTCATGAACTCAGGGAGTGAGGGTGCAAACTGAGGGGGTGGCAACAAGAAGCATTGTACAAACTGGACTGCTTGTACTCCATCCAATGAAGAAAATCAGAGTGCATGCCTTTAAATAATCATCTTCTAAAGATGTTTTTTTTTTTTTTACCCAGCTTGCTGAAGGGCACTCAGCACATGTGTCAGCTCCAGCTTCTGGGAGGGTTTGCTGGGTGACTGGCTGCCTGGGATCCAGCACACATCTTCCCTCCCTTCTCAGCATCTCTCAGTTTGGACAGGGAAGGAGACACACACACACACACATACAACTTTCTTTTGATTTTCCTTGATAAGAAAAAAAAAAAGAATTAGGAAAAGTATTCCTTGCTGTCCTCATTGCATTTATTGTCATTTAATCCTGACAGCTTCATTTCCAAACCGTGTAGTTTAATAATCTGAGGGAAGAATTTAATAATGATTTTGCATGAAGAGTAAAGCAGTAGCAGATGCATATGACTGTTCCAGTTTACAGTTATCACTGTAAACCTCTCAACTGGAATTTACCAGAGAATAAAGACAGGGAGAAAACCTTGAAGTATAGTTTACTGTTTTCTCATGCGGGGGAGGAAAAAAAAAAGTTAAATAAAGTTGAATTGCTTGTCTAAATAAAAATTATGATGCACAGAAACAGTGAAACTCACCACGCTGTTATGATTGCTGGAAATTAATAAGTTTGGGGGTTTTCTTTTGATTTTACTATAAAAAAGCATAAATGCCTCAAAGAAACTACTTTTCAACTGCTTTAAGAGGAGCAATTTCTCAGGTTGAAAGCATTACTTTCTTGTGCCCATGGATGTTCCCTAATGCTCTTAGACATTAGTAAAAAACCATCATTAACCCTTTACAAGTGCAACAAAGCAGATGATTTTTTTAATTTTTTTGGCAACATCTGTGTACCTTTGTAAAAAAAATACGTAAATGGATATTTTTGTTTAATAAGGCAGCAAAATGTATCTTTTTAAGATTAAAATCATAGTGCACATCGAGTACATTTAAATAACATGAAGATCACAGCACAGGAATTCAGTTACCATGAATTTCATGGCAAACTACCCTTTCATAAGGCTACTCTTAGCTCTTCAAGTGTCCCAATCTTAGACAAACTAGCAACAGTGAGAGCCGAAACTGCATTTCCTCCTTTTGTTACTTTGTTTCCACAACTTTCACGTTGTAGCTTGGCTTTGTGTCTGTCCCACATCTTCAAGGGAAGGCCAGCAAACGAGCTGCCTGACTAAAAATCCTGACTCTAATGCTCCAGGGGTTTGTAAAGAAGGGGAAAGGACAACGCACCACTAGCTAGGGCCCAGAAGCTGCTCTGGAGCTGGATTGGGACACAGCGCACCACAACGCTGCCCTGGAGAGAAGTCATTCTGAGAATGTCTCCTGAGCCTCCAGCCTCTTTCCTGTATCTTGTGGAAATGAGATGGGATGTGAAAAGGCATTTGAGGACAGTTTGGCTGACGAAAAGACAGTCCCTGTTCGTGGGGTTTGGTGAGCGACTCGGTTACAGCCCGGGAGTAAGTGCACGCCAAGGCGAAGAACCGTGGTGCGGCAGCACCGCGTTCGGGGTGTATTTAAAACCCTCGGTCCTGTGGAAAGGCACCAGGAGGAAGAGAAACATGGTTGTGCCTCGCTGGCTAACATCAGGAAAGCAACAAGATGTCAGTGAGGTTGTTCTGCTTCCTGTTTGCGAAGCGCACACACAACACACACACACATTCCGCCACCCCCACCGCTTTGTGCGGCCCCTGCCCGGCTCCCCCCCGCGCCCCGGCCCCGCTCCCTCCCCGTCCCGCTCCCCGCCTCGCCGGGAGATGCGCCGGGCGGCGGGGGCTGCGCTCCCGAGGAGGCCGGGAGGGGAGGCGGGGGCAGCGCTCGGCGATGAGCTTTTGTTTGCCGCTGGCGAAGCGATCCCCACCTCCTGTGTGTGTCCCCCCCCCCCAAGGAAGCCGGGCTGGGGGCAGGCAGAGCGCCCAGCAGGACGGCACGGGGCAGCGGGAAGGGAGCTGCCCGCCGGGCGTCCCGCAGGGGAGGAGCTGCCCGGCGCTGCGGCCGGGGCTGGGCGGGCTCGGCGCGGCCCCGGAGAAACACTCGGCTCCCTCCTCTCACATACGGGGCGGGGGGGAGCGAGAGGAAGGGCTGCCGCCGAGCCGGCCGCCTCCCCGCCGCTTTGTCCCTGAGACCCCCCGGCGGAGGCCGGCGGCAGCTGCCGCCCCGCCGGACCCTCCCGCACGGCCGCGCCTCCCCGCGCAGCGGGGGAAGGCGAGAGGGAGGGACGTGCGAGGCTTGTAAACCACACGCTGCCATCGCACCTCCCTTCCTCCTCCCTCCTCCCTCCCTCCCTCCTTTCCTCCCCGCCGCTCTCCGCCACCCATTGTGCGCCCGGCAGACGGCGGGGACCCAGCTGCCCCGTACCCGCCCCCGAACGCAGGGCACCCCCGCCCGGGCGCGGGGACACGTCAGGACACACACGCGTGTCCCCCGCAAGGCACAGCCGCCCGCCTGCCCCCGCCGGCCGGGACGAACACCACCAGCCCCCCCCCCCCCCCCGCACCAGAACGACTGGCGGCCGCGACCTGCTATAAATAAGGCTCTGCCGGAGCGCGGGGCCCGGCTCCCCCCGCACCTCCTCTTATTATTCATCATCAGTGCAGCTTGGGAGTGGGAAACTCCGCTTCCTACTTGCCGCTACGCTCCTACCGGCTCAGCCCCCGCCCCCTTTCCCCCCCACACGCCCCCGCCTCCGCTGCTCGCTAAGCTCCTTAAAACCCAAGGAAACTTTGGGAAGCGATTCAGCTCGCGTGGGGAGCCGGGTTGCTGCACGCCGGGGCAGCCCAGGCGAGAAACCTGCCCAACTTTTCCTCCTGCCGCCAGCCCAGCCCGCGGAGCCAACCTTCCGCCTTCCTCCGCGGCGGGATTTAAAAGGCGACCAGCCCCACGCGCGGAAAAGCTGTGGCGAAACACTCACGCACACATACACAAAACCCTCCCCCGGCTCTGGGCAGCCCGCGGCGCACGCCCGGCACTGCTCCTTCCCCCTTATACCCAGGGTAGCTCCACCGTTCCGAAAGGGACGGGGGAAAAAGTTTCTCCGCTCCCCCCGCCCCAGCCCGTGCGAAGTTGCGAAGCGCTCCGGAAGCCCCCCGTCCCACCAGCGACCCTGTCACCGCCAAAGTTGAGCCGAGCCCCGTCCCCCTCTGAAAAGCCACGGGGGCGACCTCCAGCTCATCCCGGCGAGCAACGCGGAGCGGACAGCCACCCCTCCGCCCCCCCGGCCCGCATCCCCTTACCATGATCAGCGTGTGGTTCCTCTGCTCCGCCGTGGCGGATTCGGCATCTTGCTGCTGTTTGCTCTGGTGCTGCTGCTTGCTGCCGCCGCCGGTGCCCGTTTTCTTGGCCCTCTGCTCCAGGGTCCGCTGGTAGAGGCTCACCGTGTCCCTGCGCTCCAGCTCCAGCTGCTCCGCCTGGGCTTGCTGGTACCTGCTCTCGCAGTTGACATGGTGCCGCCGGCAGCCCTCGATGCGCTGCCTCAGCCGCTCCACCACCGTGCTGTGCTTGGGAATGCCGCTGCTATTAGCGTTATTGTTACCGGGAGCGGCGGCAGGAGGGCCGTGGGGAGTGCTGTTAACCCCGATGCCGGCCCCGCCGAGGCTGCTGTTCAGGTTATTGTTGATGCAGATACTGCTGCCATTCGCGGCGGCAGCGGGGGCTGCAAAATCCCCCATCCTCTTCCCCGTGCACACTATTTTGGAAGAACTTTTTATCCTACACTTCACACACACACAGTCTCCTCTGGGGTCCTGATGGGATACTTCTTAGAGAAGCGGGGAGGGGGGGGAAGGGGGCACCATCATGTATCAGGGAAACAGCGATCCCAAGCAAATGTTTCTCTTTCCCCCCAGCCAATCCCTCTCGAGAAGCTCCAAAACATTAAAAAGAGAGAGGGAAGGGGGGAGGGAAATAAAGAGAGAAGGTGCTAAAAGGTTATCACCAGCAACACAACCAACAACCACACACACACACACACACACACAAAAAGCACAACAAACTAAGCAGCAGCAATTCGGGTTAGCAAACTCCAGGAGATATCAGACCAGTTCCTTTCCTCCTCTTTCTTTTTTATAATCCATTATTTCAAAACAGATTCCGTGAGATTTCCGGAGATTTTGCCAAAAGCCTTCTCTCCCCATGTATAAGGAGAAACACACGCGCCCCTCCACATGCACACACATACACATGCACACCCGTTCACACGCACGTTCGCACACACACATCCAAGCACAGGCACACGCTGGGCACACACGGCACACTCACTCGCACTCCCCGGCATCAAAAGACAGGCACAGCCGCTTGCTTATTGTATTTTCCTTCTAGAGAAAAGTTTTGGTGTTTATGCCGCACCGTGTTCGCAAAGTACTTTGGCTGCTGAGTTGCATTTCAACAGGAACCTAAATAGCAAATCCTCGGGCTGGGGGAAGTAAGCACATGAACAATCCGGGCCGAGCTGGAGAGAGGAAAAAAAAAAAAAAAAAGAAGAAGAAAAAAAAAAAAAGTAGAGCTCTGAAGTCTCTGCCAAACGCCGAGCTGATACAGCCTAGCGCTTTGCTCTGCCGTGCTGGCTGCTGCTCCTCCTGCCACCATCACAATGATCAAATGCTCTCCTCCTCCACCTCCTCCTCCTCCATGCGAGCGGAGTGATACCAGGGCAGGAGCGCTCAGTAAACACCGCAGCGGCGGCGGCGGCGGCGGCGGCTCCTCCGGGCCGTGAGGCAGACCCGGGGACAAGGTGCAAAACCCGGCACGGACGTCGCCCAGCAGGAGCGGACATGGCGCTTCTTCGCCCGCAGCGCTCACGCCCGGCGGCGGCGGCGGCGGCGGGGCCGGAGCGGGGCCCACAACACCTGCCGGCCCCGGGGCGCCCCGCGGCCTCCCCGCACCGCGGGGGCGGCCGCTACCCCGACCCCAGCCCCGGCCCCGGCCCCGGCCGGCACACGGCGCCCGGCGGCGGCGGCTCCCGTGCCGAGCCCCGGGCGGGGGGCGGCGGGAGCAGCGCGGGGGGACCCGGCGGGCTGGGCTGGGCTGGGCTGGGCTGGGCTGAACCCCCGCGCCCGGAGCGGCGTGTGCCGCGTTTCCCCTCCTGTGTCAACTGTTGCATAATGAATGGGGAGCGGAGCGCGGAGCCCTGCGCCTCCCCGGCACGGGGCTGAACTTTCTATTTTAGACAACAGAAGAAACATGACACGTTGGGGCAGGAACGTGGTTGTGTGGGGGTTTTTTTGGGTTTT